AGAGAGAGAGAGAGAGAGAGAGAGAGAGAGAGAGAGAGAGAGAGAGAGAGAGAGAGAGAGATATCTACAGTAGCTCAGGGTAGGAGTTAGGGAGTAAGAAAAATTGAGCCCAGAAAGACTTTTTTTCATCAACTCTGGACATTTCCTGTGTCCTGCAAGGGAAAGAAGAAAAGAGGAAGGGAGAAAGAGCAGAGAGATGGGAGGGAAAGAGAAGGCTTGAGGCATCATGGCCTGTTTGGGGAGGAGGTAGTTGGGCTCTGTTGCAAGGGAAATATTGGAGGCAAATGGCTTCCTTTGTGGTCTTCACTTCCTATCAGATGGGTGGGCCAGTCCTGGAGCATGTGACTATATAAAATAAGAGTGGATCCAGGCGGTGGTGGCGCACACTTGGGAGGCAGAGGCAGGCAGATCTCTGTGAATTCAAGGCCAGTCTGAGCTACTGAGTGAGTTCTAGGACAGGCTCCAAAGCTACACAGAGAAACCCTGTCTCAAAGAAAAAAAAAAAAAAGAGTGGAAACAGAATGGGAGAACTGAAGCTTGTGCGGTTACATCCAGGGCCTGTGCTGAAGACAGTTCCAGGTTGGCTGGGTTAGCCTCTCCTGTGGAGGGCATGGAGCCAAAAATGACCACGTGGAAGGACAGAAAACTTCAGTAGCACAGCCGACAGAGATGGGGTGGGGCTCAGCCTGCCCACCTTTACCCGTCTTTGCTTGAGCTTCAGACTGGTTCCTTTGCCCTAGAACCTCCTCTGCTTCATTCTGGGGACACACAGACAGGTCAGGGTCTCAAGGAGTTCCTGGGACATGAGCAGGGAGTCAGTGAGAGGCAGAGTCCCCTCCCACTTCCTGACCTCAGGCACCAACAGCCCTGCTTTGACAGGGTTCAGTGAGTGTCCCCAAGCACCCCTACCACCTGACCTGCCGTGCTAGCCTCCTCAGCCAGCAAAGCACTGAGGGGGAAGGGGCTGTCCAATCCCATTAGGCAGAAGGCCCCTGAGGGTGGAGGGCTGACGTGAACCCTGCTGTTGATGCTGCTGAGGCAGCCCATGCTCTCCCCACCCCCATCTTGGGGCTCCTCTGGGAAGGTCAGAAGAGGGTTTTGTCCAGTGGCTGCTAAGCCCTTCCCCCCGGGTGGGCCAGGAGCATCTGAGAGACTCAGGTGCCTCCCTAGGCTGTTTCCCTCTCTTATTATCAGGGTGTAGATCCCTTCTGTCCTCACCCCCTTGATTTTTCCTCCCTTTCTCTCAGCTCTTCCACCTCAGCATTACCTACTCTTCCTTGTTCTTTTTTTTTACAGGAACTTTGCCCTTGAAAACCAACTGCTTAATTCCTGCCTATAACAGCGATGGCTTCCCCACAGGCTAGCCCTTTAGCGCAAAGGCCAGGAGGTCCCAGGTGCCTGTAGCACTTTCCTTCTGCCTGGCAAGCCCTTGGGATACCCCATTGGGGCAGCTATTTGGAACTTCCAGAACACCATTCCCTACCCCACCTGCCAGCCACCAGAGAGTGTGATGACATTTGGAGTCTTCATGGAAGAAAAACATTTTTCTCTTGATTCTTCACCAAAGTCATACATGGTGTTGCTGCTAATGTAATCCTAGCACTTGGGAGGCTAGATCAGGAAGAGCAAAGTTCCAGACTGGTCTGGGTTAGATATTGATCCCTTCTCAGATACAAAGGGGCTGGAGAGATGGCTCAGTGGTTAAGAGCACTGGTTGCCCTTCCAGACACACATTCAATTCCCAGCACCTACCCCATGGCAACTCAAAGCCATCTGTAGCTGCTCCAGCTCCAGGAGTATCTGATGCCCTCTTCGGGCCTCCTTGGTCACCAGGCACACCTGTGGTACACATACATACATGCAAACACTCATACATATAAAACAATAAAGTTAAAATTTAAAAACTACCAAACACAGAAAGTGAGGCGATGCAGCCCAGTTGGTAAAAGTGCTTGCCTAACATGCACAAAGTCCTTGGTTAGATTCCAAGCACAGCCTAAACTGGGTGTGTTGACCTGTTCCTATAATCAAGGCACTCAGGAAGTGGCGGCAAGCTGATCAGAGGTCCAAGATCATCAATGCCTATGTAGAAGTTCGAGGCCAGCCTGAGCTACATGAGACTGTCTCAAATAGAGCAAAATAACATTAATACCAACCAATGACCAACAAAGAGAGAGAGAGAAACAATAATTCACTGCCTAAACACAAAACTCTTTGAGGGCGCCAGCTTCCAGCCTCAGGGCACCTCCCACCAGCTGCCAGGGCCTAATGCTGCCTTTGCCAGTGGCTTTCAGTGTTGGTGGTGCCTCCACCTGTTATTTTAGTGTTACCACAGCTGGGTGTGGTGGCGCACGCCTTTAATCCCAACACTCAGGAGGTAGAGACAAGCAGATCTCTGAGTTCGAGGACAGCCTGGTCTACAGAGTGAGTTCCAGGACTACCAAGAATAAAAGAAAAAGAAAACAGAAAACAAATGGCTACTCTTTGAAACACACATTAGCTTTTGGGGAGAGAACTCTTCATTTCCTAGGAGCAACACAGGTTCAGAGAAGTAAAGAACCTACTTGGGGACACACAGCAGAGCCAGGCTGGAGCATGGTGACCCTCTCTTTGGGTTTCATTCTCCATCTCTTAGGTGAGGGGACACAACAGGACAGATGTCCCACCTTTCCATGCACCTCTCCATCCAGCTGGCTGCCAGGCCCTCCTCTAACTCTTGGTGCTCAGACTTACTTCGTCAGGCCCACAGTGTGTCTGCTCCCTCAGTGAAGCCCCCACCCCCACATGTGACCCTGAGAGGGCCCTCTTGTCGAGGCTGACACTAAACAGTCCCACAGAAGCCCCTTTTTCTCATTCCTCTCCAAGAGCCCTCTGAAGCTGGGCGAAGCGATAGAGGATGCCCCTCCAAGGGCAGGCATGAGGCCTGCGAACTCCAAGTCAGCAGGACGTGGGAAGAGTCATGCCATTTGGAATTTTTATTTTCCACTCAATGAGAAGAGGAAATTCCAACTATGGAATCTAGAGAATTCTACAGGAACAGAACAAATTCTGGCTGGGCCCAGGGCCCAGAGTCGGTCTGGAGCTGTTGGCGCTACTCTTCAGTGCCAGCTCCATCCTTGGCATCCCGCCCCTCACACAGCATTGCTCCGCTCCCAGAGCCCACAGTGGCAGCTGTGTGATGCTGTGGCTGCAGCTGCTGCCCTGCCCAAGAAGGGATGTGAGCTCTGTTCTGAGCGGTCAGGGATGCCAATCAGGAGAGAATTTTAGAAATCACTCAGTCCATCCCCATTTTACAGATGGTGAGATGAAACCCGAAAGGAGCAGCTTCTAGGATGATAAAGGTGGGGATAGAAACAGGCCTCCTGTGTGCCCAGAGTCCCTCTGAGCATTCAAGTGCTGGTATCTGCAGGGGCTGGCAACCCAAGGGGTGTGTGGCTATGTGTGCCAGGATGCATCTGTGGCAAATGAGCTAGGGCTTCTGTATCCTTCTGTGAGTGCTCTTGTGTGAAAGAACAGGGGACTGTACCCAGAGAGGGTTGGGCTAATCCTATCAACTTGGCAACCTTTCCAGGCTGAAGAGGGAGAGAAGGAAGAATGAGAACTTTGCTGGCAATAAAGAGGGTGAGTCAGAGCCCAGACTGGACATGGACGAGAAGGCTCTGGAGCTAGGCTGGGACGGGGGTGGGGTGGGGAGGGGGGGGCAAGATGGATGGAGGTATCTGGAAGCTGAGACACTCTCCTAGCCCTCACATGGGACCAGCCCTCTGGCCATCCCAGAGGTAACCCTGGGGGAAGTGGTCACATGATGTGGCACTTCTCAGCTGATTGCTTGAGGTCCCCTAGTGTAGTCTGGGCCTTGTCCTTGAGTGAGCTGAGGTCTAAGCCAGGGAGGCTGGCCAGCTGTCCCAGCACAGAGGCCTTATCTTCTTCTTCCTCCGTGTCCTCCTCGATCATCTTGGCTAGTTCCCGAGGCAGTTCCACGTCTCCTCCTGCCAGCTGGATCTGGCTTTCATCTGTCTCATTCTGCAGGGAAGAGAGATGAGACAAGGGTAGAGGTCTAGGAGGACCTAGCAGGCTTGGTTCTGGGGCCCTGGATTCGTGGAGGCCATAGTCCAGTGAGGTCAGCGTCTGTCCCCACACCTGAGTCAAGCCTTCCGTGGCTAGACACGGAGACTTTGCACTTCCTAACCTTGCAGCTTTTACATGGCCTTAGTCACCTGGGATACTGAAGGACTAGCAGAGAGACTAATCAATAGGAAAATGTCACTCTGATATGGTAGGCTGAGTCACGTGTTGACCGTGGCTAACTCCACTGAATGGCACAACAAAACCAGTGATGGGTACCAGTTATCAATACCTAGTCTATGGTTGACAGGAACCTAGGTGCTTTTACATATTTTTAGATTCATTCTAGTATTTTGAAGTGTATGTGTGGGGGTGCCCATGGAGGCCTGAAGAGGGTGTCAAACCCCTGGAGCTGGAGTTCATAACAGGCAGTTGTGAACTTCTGATGTGCACACTGAGAACTAAAGTGCAGTCTTCTGCAAGAGCAACAGGTGATCATAGCCATTGAGTCATCTCTCTAGCACCAAGAATGCTTTTTCTTTTTGTGACTAAAAAATATCTAGAAAAATGCAGCCATGGTGGCACACACCTTTAATCCCAGCAGGCAGAGGCAGGCAGATCTCTGAGTTTGAGGCCAGCCTAGTCTACAGAGCTACAAAGCTACACAAAGAAACCCTGTCTCAAAAACAAAACAAATGAACAAACAAAAAGACCAAAATAAAACTAGGAAAAGCCAGGAATGGGGATCAATGCCTTTACTCCCAACACTCGGGAGGCAGAGGCCAGTGGATCTCTATGAGTTCAAAGCTAGTCCAATCTAGCACCTCAAGTTCCAGGCCAGCCAGCGATACATAATGAAACCTGTCTCAAAACAAGCAAACTAACAAGTAAAAACTAGGGGGAAAAAAATGAGAAGTGGTTACAGCTGTGACCTCAGCACTGAGTGCAAGTGGAAGGGTCAGGAGTTCAAGGTCATCCTCAGCAGAATGGAACCTGTCAGATCTACTTCAGAAATTAAAATTTTTTAAAAAAAGGAGACAGATTTTAAACAATTTGCCTAAGATCATACAACGAGGAAGGGAAGTGGTAAGCTAGATTCAGACCTGTGTCATTCATTCCAATATCTGTACTCCTTTGACACCTGCTGAGAGCCACCACACTCCCTAGGCTTTGGGGGAGGGTCTCCTCCTACATCCCACGCTGCTGTACCCAAGTCTTGCCTTTTCTGCTAGACTCTGAATTCCCTCACAGCAGAATAATGTCTCTTCCACGTTTAGCGTAAGCATTTGAACCATGACCCCATTGCTACCCGGATTTTCAATAATACGGATGTTCAATAATGCAAATTTTCTGAACCAGGTTTGCCCGTGAGAGACTTGTGGGAAATCAATGGCAGCCAGGGCTCAGTAAACACTTGCTGGATGAGTAAATGTGATACAACATATTTGATCTCTGAAGTCAAGGCCAAGGCTATGGAATCCTACTCCTTGGAGTCTAGCACAGCTCACAAGTGATAGATTCTTGGAAGTGGCTTGTCCCATGTAGGAGTGGCACATTTGTATGCTAATCTAGTGTTGCAGCATCTTGGGAAGAATGGGGCAGGGGCTTCTGAGACAAAGAGGCTAAAGGGGTACCTTATTCTTTGTAGGTAGACCCCCATATCCCGGAAAGTAGCCTGAGGGCTGGAATAGGCAGAGGCCCAATAGCCACGGGCTTCAGTTCTCACCCACTGGCTGTATGACCTTATGAGTCCCTTAGTCTCCCTGAGCTGTTTCCCTTTTCACACACGCAGTGAGAACTATCTAGCAGCTTTGTTGAGGGTCTGCTGAGGACAGGAAGGTAAATGCCTGGTGCACAGGAGGCAGAGCCGTGTTCTCTCCTCCTGCCTGCTCTCCGCACGCATTCAACAGCCCCACCACGGCTCACCCCTTATAAGGTCTTCTTTCTTACTCCTCTGTGCCTTCATGAGCCAGGCTTGACCCAGGTGGGAGAGGAGGGAGTGAAGGAAACAAGGCCTGACTCCATAAACACAAACCTGTAAGCTTCCAAAGGCCCAGGGTCTGTCTCAGCTCCGAGAGGAGATGAATGAATGAATGAGTTGAATGAATGAGTGAGTGGATAAGAAAAGGAAAATGTAATCAAGCACCTTGTGGGTCTGCAGGGCTGAGAGCTGAGGGGCCCTGAGGGAAGTCCAGCTCCTAGTGCTCAGGGTCCCAGTAGCACCTCATAATTTAGGCCCTGGATACCTTGGGCAGACGGTATTTGTCTCTGAAGTGACTCCTCAACGTGGCCCGTTCCGCCTTCCTCTGTGTGAACTGTGCATCTCGCTCCATTCTGCATGGGAAAAGGACACCAGCTGTGAAGTCCCCTCAGAGGTTGAGAGAAGGTGTGGGCAGTCAGCAAAGGAAGGGCTAAGATGGCCTGGAAGACCTGGGAGGAGGCTGCATGGGTTCTCCAGTCCCCAGCTGACCTATGCCCAGCCATCTCAGACTGACTGTCTTAACTTTTGCTACCAGCTTGTCACAGCGTCCTTCCTTGATATTCTCTACTCCTGCCAATGAACAGAGTTCACTGGGTGGGAGCCTGACTCTCTCTGTCTCAGATGATCCTAATTTACATCCTTTGCAATGGCTGCCTGGGGTCTGCCGTTCCTTCTCAGCAAACTGTGTGGAGCAGGCAGTGTGCGCACTCTGGATGTGGCCCATGGCTCCACCACTGCCACTTGTAGTGTGTCCTTCAGTAAATCACTTAGCTTCCTCTTCTGTAAACTGGGGATGAAACTTTGCAATTCACAAGGCAACCAAGATTAAACAAAATGACAATAGCCAACATTTCATGAAGACCTGCCTTGTGCCAGGTGACACACTAAAGGGTTAACATGTGTGACGTCATCAGCTCTCACGGATACATAAAGCATGGGTTGTGATTACCACTCCTATCTTCCAGAAGGAAAAAGGAGCCACAGAAATGTTAAGGGACTTTCCTAAAGTTATTAGGCTAGTAAGCAAAATGAGGTTCCGGACCAAGAAACCTCATCCCAAAACTCAGACCCTAGCTCACTATCTCTGCTCTGCCCTAGAACTACTGCACACAGTAGGCTCAGTATCTATGAATAGAATGGATCTGTGCCCTGCTGATAAAAAGCACTTTTCTTACAGTCTCAGGCTCAGAGGAGCCCCAGTTGGAAACAGGCAGTTAAGACCAGATCGGATTAAGGGATTACCTATTTCATCAGAGATGCACGTGCACCCCCCCCCCAAGGCATTCATCACCCTCCCCCAACTCCCCCTGGACCAGAGGATGAAGATGGAACAGGGTCCGGGTTTTGAAGAAACAGGATGGTTGTGAAAGTAGCCGAGTGTCCCGCCCGCCCGCTCACCACGTTTAGGTGATGTAAAGGGAAGCTCTGACCCAGGGGAGGGCAGAGCAGCGTTAGTGTATTTGTGTGTGGGTCACAGGAGCCAAGAAGGAATTCCACTTACTTCTCCTCCACCAGTTGCTTCTGATACTCCTCGTACTCTTCTCGGCTCATGCCCTGTGCTTCGGCTGCAGACTTGTCTCCATCCCCTTTGTCCTCGCCGCCCCCCAGGCTTCCAGTGAGGTTCTTCAGCTGGCCACCCACCATGGACTTCACCATGAACGCCATGGTCTTCTCTGGCCACTGCACCAGGCGCCTGGTTCGCCGGAGCCTACTTCAGCACTAAGTCCCAGGGACAGCTCCGGCTGCGCGCGCTCCCCCACGCTTTGCTCGCTGCTGCCTCTACCTTCCCAAACCCCTCCTCACGGGAGGGGGGGCGAGGGGGGGCGAGGGGGGGCATGCACGGGGCTGAGAAGCCTGGACCACGTGCCCGCTCCTCACTCCCGCCTTTCCCATGTGCCTTCTTTAGCGCCAGCCAAGCTCTGCTCGGCTACTGCTGACAGCTGATTAGGGCTTGTTTGTGGTGGTGGGGTCGCTGCCCTGGGAGAAGGGGCTGTACTGATGTGTGCCTTGATCCCTGCACCCCCGAGAACCAGAACTTCAGCTTGGAGCACCCGGTAGCCTCAACCAACACCCCTAGCCTTGGGTCCTATTCCATCCTCCAATCTGCTGACCCTAGCAGCTACGAGGCTGGGAAGTGGGGAGACCGCAAGAGCTGATCAGGAATCCTAGTTACATGGTTCGGTGAGTCTGCACTCAGTTCCTCTGTCACGTGTCTGCCCTGCTGTCCCTGGAGCCTCAGGGAGTGGGGAAGGGGAGTGTTGTTTGGGGGTACTGAAAAGATGAGCCAGAAGGAAGCCAGGGGACTCTCTCCTTGTCCTTGGTGAGTTCAGGAGCAGAATTGTGCACAGCTGTCTCCCTTTGTCTCGGCAGCCCAGAGGAAAAGGCTGTGGGGGTATCTTCATCTTGGCCTTCCTGCCTTCTTGAACCCTATTCCTGCCACCCAGAGAAGATGGAAAGCTACCAGAGATTATGTGAGTCTGGAAGGTAAATGAAGGGATCAGCACAGCGCGAGGAACATCACCTTTAATATGATGAACTTGCCAAAAGCTAAGATGTGGGCACTCAGGAAGGATACTGGCCAAATCCTCCATCCTCCATTTGTCTCCCCGTAAGACATGGCTTTGAGTTGGGTCAAGCATGCATGCTGGAGGGGACAGGCTGTCTCCTCAGAGCCCCCAGGGTCCTAGGGATGGGCAACATGGGCTCTAGAGGAAGGCTTCCTGTGGACAGGTACTCCTGGAGCCTCTTGTCCAGCTCCTGCCTGCTGCCAGAGAGAAAAAGTTACTTGAGTCTCCCTTCTGAAACCAAGACTCACACTTGCCTCTCAATACACAGTGTACCATGGCCTTCCATATTCTATGACCTTCTATGGCTCCCTTGACATGCCACAGACATTCACATTTTACCCTGGCATTTGAAGTCTTTCTGGGTGGCTTAGTGCCAAAGCTGCACTCCTGTGCACACATTTTCTTCTTTCTTTTTTAGAGAAGATCTCACTATGTAGCCCAGGCTCGTCCAGACTTCATCATCCCTCTGCCCCAGCCTTCCAAGTGCTGAGATTAAAGGCGTTCATTTCTAATCCAGAACACCCAGATTCCTTGCCCAGTCTTGTAAATTGACCCTGCACTTTACTTCAACAGTATTCAATTGCTGCCTTTTTTCTTTCCCCTAAAGATGTTTTTTCATGCCTCCATGCTTTTTCTGATGCTATTCCCTCTGCATCAATGTCCTTACCTATTCTGCCAAGCTGGAAAATTCTTAGTCACTTTGATGACCCAAATCAAATATCCTTTCCAGGTCAATTCCCTGATCCCCATAAACCCCCACCCCCACCCCCAAGATGATTCCGTTGCTTTTTCCCGGCTCTCCAAGCTTCCCAGCCATCACAGCACTGCTGGCTGTCAGGTTATTTTCATATGCTCACACTAGAGTGAGCTCTGTGGGGCAGGACCAGATGGAACTGGGGCCCGAGCGGGTGTCTGTGCTTAATAAGTGGGGTGTTGCTGCTCTATATTCTGCTCCCAGCCTTCTGGTGAACTGGGTAGCTCCCGTCTGAGCTTTGGGGTCCCCTACTTCAAGTTCACCAGTTGTAGACCAGAACCAAGATATAAATGTTCTATGGGAAATCCTGCCTGTGTGAAGGCTCACCTGAAGTTCATGTAGCAGAAGAAGCCTACGGTCTGAATGACAAGGAAGAACAGGAAGATGCTGGTCCGAAGACATGCAGAAGTTCCTGGGAGCCAGCCAGATGGGCGAGGAGCCTTGGCTGTCCTTTTCTGAAAGGGGAAAGTATGAGGCCCTGCCTCAGCTTCTAATCCAGGAGAGGGGAGGGGGACTGAATCCATGCCTTGCATGGTCCCTATTTAGCTCCCTCAAGCTTGGGCTATCTGGGGCTATTGTCATCTAGAACAAGGAAAAAAGACAAGTGTCCAAAACTGCTTCCTTCTCCACTCTTGCATGGTTCCATCTGTGGGAATAGCTCAGAAGAGACAGGCCCTGGAATCATCAACAGACCAAAGGTCTAAGAGATGAGAAAAGGAGAGGCAGATGGGGACATGAGGGCAAGGGAAAGAACAAGGAAGGACAGAGGCTCAGGGGAAGTCAATACCACTGTTGAACCTGAGTGGTCCCTGCCAAGGTCTACCCCACTCCTCTCTGGTCATCTAGGACATTTGGATAGTTCTGACTTTGTGGGCCTTCCTCTTGAGGAAAAGAGTGCAAAGACATCCGGGTGGTGGTGGTGCACTCCTTTAATCTCAGCATTTGGGAGGCAGAGGCAGGTAGATCTCTGTGAATTCAGACCAGCCTGGTCTACAGAGCAAGTTCCAGGACTACACAGAGAAATCCTGTCTTGAAAAACGAGAGAGAGAGAGAGAGAGAGAGAGAGAGAGAGAGAGAGAGAGAGAGAGAATGAAATTTGTGTTCTTGTGTTCTTTCATGTTCATGTGCAGTTACATCTAGGTATCTACATGTGCCTGTTGGGGTACTGGACAAATCCTCCAAAGCTGTAGAAGTGTTAGGAAAAGGGTGGCAGAGACCAAACCTCAAGGATGAACGCCTTGTACAATCCACTACTTCTTACCACCAGATCCCGGAGGTCTTTCTGCAGGAGGCTGAGGATCTGGTCCAGCTCAAAAAAGTGATGCTTAGTACCCACTGGCAGATAGAAGACCTGGGCTCCTGAAGCCATTCGGGCAGCTGCTTTCCTGGTGGTGTGGTGGGGGCATGGAAATCAAGAAAGATGATCCATTACCCTTTTTGGTTGTACCCAAATTACCTAATCTCTTCCCATAATCCTCCAAGCCAGCACATGGTAAAGAATAGATATCATTGATAGAGTCTTATCCGTGGGGACAGTTTTTTTTTTTTTTACTCTAAAAAAATGCTCCCTAGAACCTGAGACAATTTTAGCATATACAAAGAATTCTCCGAAAGTGTCTGTCTATGGACCAGGCTCCCTGGGCTCTGCTTTTCATCTCTGGCCCAGGGGAATTAGCTCTTCTCAGGCTCTTGCCCTCTGCCACCCCCAGGCATCTAGAAGGAGGGTATACAGCCACAGGATCCATAATGTTCAAGGGATCTTCCCACCCCCGGAGCTCTAAGGGGAGCTCTGCAGGCAAGGGTGAGCCAGAGTGAGATTCTGGGAGACTGGAAGCAAAATAACCTCACACCATTTCCTCCAAAGGGCCTCATCTTGGCTGGGCTTCCTCCAAGAACCTCCATCAAAATGTATGCCCTCGGGGACTGAGGAGATGGTTCAGTGGGTAGAAGTGCTTGTTTTGCAAGTACAAGGACCTGAGTCCACATTCCCAGCACACATGTAAAAAAGCCATGTATGGCTACATCCGCAGCATGGGGCGGGGCGGGTGGGAATCTGACAGAGGCAGGATGACAGAGGAGCCTTGTTTCCCTCTCAGTCTCCATCCTTACTCTATCCCTTACCCCCTTACCTCATCTCCTGCAGGGCCTGGAGCAGAGTCCGCTGTCCATAGAGCAGGGTGCTGACCTTGGCAGTGTTCTACAAGAGAGCCAGCTCTTATCTAGTGTCCAGAACAGAGTGCCCCTATCCTCAGGGTCCATGTTCCCCAGGGATATTTTACTCTTCTTCAAGAAGCCTTACGAAATAGCCATGGTTCTCCCCCTTTTGGGACACACGGAATCTCCCATAGATGTTATCCATCTGGGTTTCTGGGGGACCCTTGTTCTACACCAAAGGTGTGATGTTTCTCCCAAAAGGGACCTCTAGGCTTTCCACAAATTCTTCTCCCTTTTTAAAAGGATCTCTCTGTGTCTTTCTCCTAGGCTGTGATCCAAAATGAGGGTCAGCAATGATTAGAATCCAGTAATGGGCCCAAGTCTGGCAAAGTGACCTGGAGACATAGCTGACCCTTTGGAGGGTGAACAGAATCATGCCAGTGGGGTCTAGGGCATGAAGGCAGGACCAGAAATACCTGGAGTGTGGGCCTTTCACCTCTATGTCACTCCAAAAGTCTAGCCTAGATTTCTCTGGACTGAGAACAAAATATTAAAGCCCTGGGCTAGGAGAGCCCAGCAAACCCTGTGTGAGCAGCTGGCTCCCTCTGCCCACTAACTTGCACTTTGGCTGAGTTTACCTTTCACTCCCCAAGTCAGAGCATGTCCAGGGAATGACATGGGGGTGGGGGAAAGACGGGGAGGGAGGAGCCAGAGTGGTAACAGGGATGAAATGAGGATTCTGGTGCAGCAGAGCATTTAAGCAAGTCTTATGCAAATACACGTGAGGCTATACGCCAATCAGTGCCTAGTCTATTTCTGCCATTTGTCTGTAGACTGGATTCCAAATACCTAGCATCTCTTCTCTGCAGCCCAGGCCTGTGGCTCCAGGACAATTGCTATGTGTTAATGTCCTCTTACATACCGCTCTGTTGAATCCAGTGACCTGCTCTCCTCTCTCTCCAAGTTTTGACAAGGCTAGCTCTAGACTGCCACTATTCTTACGAGCTGTGGGTGGAGACGAGGGTGCCCCAGGGTCACTCACCCAGCCTCCCTCAGGCCTGATTTGGACTGTAGACCCCAGCTGCTGTTTCCACTTCCTCTCAGCCTGGTCCAACTGCCTGGAGAGAGCCTGGAGGGCCTGCAGGATCTGGCTTTGTCTGCCCAGTATATCCTCCAGGTCAAAGAATCTTTCCCCTGGGGATTGGGGCAAAGCCAA